AAGAGAAAGGAAAGAGAAAGGAAGGAAAGAGGAAAGAGAAGAAAAGAGGAAAGAAAGGAGAAAGAGAGGAAAGAGAAAGAGGAAAGAGAAAGAGAGAAAGAGGAAAGAGAAAGAGAGAGAGGAAAGAGAAAGAGGGGGAGAGGAAAGAGAAAGAGAGAGGGGAGAGGAAAGGGAAAGGAAAGAGAGAGAGAGAAAGAGGGAAGAGAGGGAGAGGAAAGAGGCATAAAATAATTCATTTGCATTTAATTGTAATGGTTGAAAGAATGTTCGGAAAAATGTTCGGCCCTCCAGCACGTTCACTTCATCCAATCTGGCCCTCTTTGAAAAAAGTTTGGACACCCCTGCCCTAGAAGTTTCTCATGTCTAGAGAGATAGTTTGATCAAGTGGTTTGCCCAGTTAGTTAGTTCCTATCACAACCAATGGATCGGATGTCCATGTCCTCTCCTTGAAGCTCTCTCTAGCAATGTACAGCCTGGTCCTGGCTTCCTGTCTTGATGTGGCTGCTTGTCATTTTCAACTATCTTCCAAGGTAAGCCTTTACTTGGTATCCTTCCCCCTAACTCTGGTATATAAATTAGATAGGAATCTCAAAGTCCGTGCATCTTGCCAGCAGTAAAAGAAAGGAAACTGATAAAAAATGAAATCATGCCCTATCTTGGAACACATAGTACCACCAACCCACGTTATTTCAAATATTCTGATGAAAACAAAATCAGCTAGAAGAAAAAATATCTAACACAATTTTGAACTTTGCAGATCAGCTTTTCAGCTCTCTTGTCCTCCTTTGATCTTTACAATTTTATACAGTTTACATGGCTAAATCCCAAAAGGATTATCATGATACTGCACAATCTCATGCTTGGTCCTTGAAAAGTGTACCAAATTCAGGATCCAATCTGGGTTGGTCACTGGAACCAGAGGTTTAGTCATCCGAGCTTTCATGCTGGAGCCCATCTTCAGGGAACTTCTCTCTAGCAGATTGTGTGTTTTGGGCTATTCTGTGTATGATATTTATATGGTGCCTGTTGTATGTTGTAAACCAAATTCAGTTCAAGGGCGTTTAGTTCCAGATATTGCAACAGCGGTATATTTACAAACAGCAAAAAGAACTGTGTAATACTCCGAAGAGGAAGCAAAAAAAAAAAAAAAGAGCCAACTTTCAATTCATGAAGCTGCAGCTGAAACCTGCAATTCAATTCCAGCGGACCTAGAAAATTCAAGCCCAGATAGCTCTAGTCCAGGGGTGCTCAACCTTGGCAACTTTAAGACTTGTGGACTTCAACTCCCAGAATTCCTCAGCCAGCTTTACTGGCTGAGGAATTCTGGGAGTTGAAGTCCACAAGTCTTAAAGTTGCCAAGGTTGAGAACCCCTGCGTCTAGTCCGCTTTAATATATCAAGGGACTGAAACCACTTCCCCCAGACCATTACCCTCCTAATATTCCAAAGTAGGGCAGCTTGACGTTTGAACATCTCACTTGGAAGCCCAGATCGAATAAAGGTAGTAGTCTCCCTTTAAAAAAAAAAACCTGCCACCGTCTGAGTTCCCCAGCGGTCTCCGCGCGCCTCTTCTAACTTGTGCCCTGCGTCTCCTACGCGCGCATTTGTCAAGACGCAGCAATTAGCAGGGATCCAGGACCGAACCGCACCAAGACCACTAAGAGCTTAAGCTCCGAGGGGAAGCAGGCCGGCCGGCCGGCCGACTCCCCGCAGCACCATCCTCCCGAGGTGCTACTTCTCTTTTCCGCAAGAAAGTGAGGAAGAAGGAATCACCTGCTCGGGGCGACGTTCCCTTCAGCGACAGCGATCCGTCCTCACATCTCGTGAGCTCCGAGAGGGGCTGCGGCCGCTGCAGCCGCAGAAGGACGGCGATTGTCTCCACCACCACCACCACCACCACCACCACCGCCGGGGGACGGGAAAGCCGAGGAACCTTCCCAAACTCCCACCGTCGCCATGGAGATTCTCCTTCAGGTACTACTGGGGTTGCGCATCGCCTTCCGTGGGCGCTGCCAGTAACCCGCGCCGGCCTTCCTCCTGCTCACACCGACCGCAGCCGGAAAAGGCGGAGCGAGAAAAAACAACCGGTTTGGCGGAAGCTGCTTGCTCGCGGGTAGAGTCACTGTGCCGTTTGCTCCGCCCTCTCCCTCCCGAAGGAGGGCTTCGTGGGAGGAAGCGGCTTGGGTCTCCTTTGGCGCCGCGCGGTGTGCCTTGTCTTCAACCCCCTTTTCCCGCAGCCGGTGTGGCTGCTCTGCCTCAAAGCGGTGAAAGCCATAAAACGAGGTATCATCTGGCTGTTTTGAGGAAGACTTACCTTGCCGTATACAAAAAGGGTTATGCAACGGAAAAAGCACTCAGGATTAGAGCCTTGCCTGAACTCGGAATTACGTTGTTTTCTAATAACACCTTCAGTCTCTGAATTAATATGACATGTAATGTTCAGCTCAATCTGTTGACTACTTTTTCTTCTTTTGTTTCATTTTGTTTGTTTTACTGTTTTGTATTTTATTCTCTATGATAAAACATAATAATCATAATATGACGTGTTATTCTTTGAAACTCAACATTAAGAAAACCAAGATCATGGTATCCGGCCCTCTCAATTCCTGGCAAATAGATGGGGAAGAAATGGAGGTATGGAAAACCCCATTTCTGCCCTCTCTGGATTCTGTCATACGATGAAGGGAAGGGGGGTGAACAAAGGGATTTTACGGCCCTCACTTCCTTTCTTACAACTTCAAAGGGATTGAATGTGGATACCACCAAAAGGACTAATAACAATGGGGCTATCAACTTTCATCTACTCCCCTCTGAAGTCTCCCTTCCACCGGCAGTGAGGAAAAAGGGGAAATGTAACGCCTGGGATTGTTGCTGGAAGGATGGTGGGGTGGGGTGGGGCTGCTGGGGACCCCTTAAAACCTTGAACCGTAGGGCTTTGGCCCCAAGTCCTGTCTAGAACACCTGCAACCATTTTCTCTTAAAGATGCCTGTTGGAAGAAATATTCTTAAGGTGCAAAGTGGGGTGGGTCCTTACAGTATCTGGCCCACTCAATTCCTGGCAAATAGATGGGGAAGAAATGGAGATAGTGACAAATTTTATCTTCCTGGGCTACAAGATCACCACAGATAGGGACTGCAGCTAAGAAATTAAAAGACACTTGCTCCTGGGGAGGAAAGCTATGGCAAATCTAGACAGCATACTAAAAAGCAGAGACATCACCCTGCCAACAAAAGTACGTATAGTCAAGGCCAGTGGTTCTTAACCTGGGCGGTACCGCCCCCCAGGGGGCGATTTCATTTTTCAGGGGGGCGATGGAATGAAAAGGGGCGGCGTGGGGG